GGACCTCAGCCAATTGTTCCCTGTAGCAAAGGTTCACAAGGCATGTCCTCATGGCTACTACATGAGGCATAAGAGAATGTTCCCATGGACACTTAAAAGCGTCAGTTTGTAAAAATATGATGACCGAGTGTGTGGAAAAATACATAGGACAGGGGCTCCTGGCTGGTTCAGTCAGTGGAGCATCTGACTCTTGATCCCAGGGTCGCGAACTCAAGCACCACAATGGGCATGGAGCCTACTTAAAAAAAAAAAAAAAAAAAAGATACATAGCACAAATGACTATCAATCTAGGTAAGGCCATAGCCTCTAGTCCATACTGGATTTTCATTGCTAAGAAAGCTTCATGGTAGGGGCGCCTGGGTGGCTCAGTCGGTTGAGCGGCCGACTTCGGCTCAGGTCATGATCTCACCGTCCGTGAGTTCGAGCCCCGCGTTGGGCTCTGGGCTGACAGCTCAGAGCCTGGAGCCTGTTTCAGATTCTGTGTCTCCCTCTCTCTGACCCTCCCCTGTTCATGCTCTGTCTCTCCCTGTCTCAACAATAAATAAAACGTTAAAAAAAATTAAAAAAAAAGAAATTAAAAAAAGAAAGCTTCATGGTATAGAATTATTGACCTGTCTCATGCAGTTCTATTGGATATTCCTCAAATAATATATTTTCCTTAATAACACACTTTAACTTGGCAGACTGTGTTTTGGATCCAGGCATGTCTTCAGTGTGGGTGATTTCATACATTAAAGAGAAAATAATGGGGCGCCTGGCTGGCACAGTCAGTTAAGCATCCAAGTCTTGATCTCGGCTGAGGTCATGGTCTCACCGTTTGTGAGTTCGAGCCCCGCATCGGGCTCTGCACTGATATTGCACAGTCTGCTTGGGATTCTGTCTCTATTTCTCTCTGACCCTCCCCCACTTGTGCTCTCTCTCTCTCTGTCAAAATAAATAAACTTTGAAAAAAGTTTCTTAAAAAAAAAAGAGAGAAAATAGATAAAGTAGAATCTCTGTTTATCCCAGTTAAGCTCCATTTTTGCCCTCTAATTCCAGGAAAGATTGAGAGTACTGGGGCTATGAATGGTGAGAAGGAGGAACATAGTTGTTGTTGTTGTTTTTTAAGTTTACTTATTTATTTGCCCTCACCCTACTTTCAATGCCAGTCACAAGTAGTAGGTCCCCAGGTTACCCACAACTTCTGTACAATTTGGCTACAAACTGGAAGTTCCCACAACTTCTTCCTCCGGTTTGTTTAGTTTGTTAGAACAGCTCACAGAATTCAGGGAAGCACTTCCTTACATTTACCAGTTTATTAAAAAAATATGATAGGGGCACCCGGGTAGCTCGGTTGAGTGTCTGACATCAGCTCAGGTCATGATCTCACGGTTCTTGAGTTTGAGCCTCATACCAGGCTTGCTGCCATTAGCATGGAGCCCACTTCTGATCCTCTGTCCCCCTCTCTCAGCCCTTCCCCTACTGGCACTCTCTCTCTCAAAAGTAAATAAAACATTTAAATATATATACGATAAAGGATACAGATAAATAGCCAGATGAAGAGGTAGATACACAGGGTGAGGTCTGGGAGGGTCCAGAGCACAGAAGCTTCTGTCCCCAGGGAGTTGGGATATGTCACAATGCTGCTGGCGTGGATGTATTCACCAATTTGGAAGCTCCCAAATCCACACTATTGGGGTTTTATGGGGGCTTCTTCACACAGGTATGATCAATTATTAACTCCATTTCTAGGCCCTCTGCCCTCTCTGGAGAAGTGAGTGGCAGGACTGAAAATTCCAAGCTTCTCATCATGGTATTGGTCTTACTGGTGACCGTGGCCCATCCAGGAGGCACCTAAGAACCCACCCAGAGTCACCTCAGTAGATCAAAAGATGCTCCCAGTGCTTTTACCATTAGGAATTTATAGGGGTTTTTAAAAAATTTGTTTTTTAGGTTTATTTTGAGAGAGACAGAGTGTGCGAGCAGGGGAGGGGCAGAGACAGAGGGAGAGAAAGAATCCCACCCAGGCTCTATGCTGTCAGTGTAGAGCCCAACGTGGGGCTTGAATCCATGAACCATGAGATCATGACCTGAGCCAAAATCAAGAGTCACATATTTAACCGACTGAACCACCCAGGGTCCCCAGGAATCTACAAGGGTTTTAAAAGTCCTGTGTCAGGGATGAGGTCAAAAACAAATATTAGAATAAGAGATGCTCCTGATGCTATTATCACTCAGGGAATTACAAGGGCTTTACAGTGCCAGGAACTGGCGGACACAGACTGATGTATTTTCTGTCACCTCATACCTGGAGGGTCCAGTCTGAGGGATGGGAGAGAGTCTGGATGAGGCTTTTGTCAAAGTTGCACATAATGAAATGAGATTCTTTCAGATTTCACAAGAGAAATAATATAATGTATATGCCAGCACAGACAGGAAGTGGCTGGCAGGAACCACATAAGGGAGTCAGAACCCCAGAGAACTTGGTTTAAAGCTAGACACAGTGTGTTCCGCCTAGTCCTAGAGATGAATAAGAATGGAAGCAAAAGGCAGAAACAGGGACACAAGTCCTACCAACGCAAGAGACAGGCAGGAAAACTGAGGTCCCAAGGCTCATCCAAGGACCTAATGGAGGAGGAGAACTAGGATATAAACATCCCTAAGTTAATTTATAATGTTAGCATGATACCAGTATAAGTAGTTTTTTTCCCTGCAGCTGTATTTATGAATTCTAGAACTCATGTAAAAAAATAAATAAGCAGGGTCACCTGGGTGGCTCAGTTGGTTAAGCATCCTACTCTTGATCTTGGCTCAGGTCATGATCTCAGGCTCAAGTCATGATCTCAAGGATCATGAGTTTGATCCTGCATCAGGATCTGCTCTGTCAGTGCGGAGCCTCCTTGGGATTCTCTCTCCCTCTCTCTGCCCCTCCCCCGCTTGCATGTGTTCATATGGTCTCTCTCAAAATAAATAAATAAACTTAAAAAAAAAAAAGTACAAGGGGAGAACAATGAGGAGGGGAAGGATGAGGAGGGTGTGGAGAGAAAGAAGAAGAAACCAAAATCATAGTGAATTCATTTTTAATTTGGGAATAGAGAAATATTTCTAATTATGTCTCAAAAATCCAAAATACGTCTATACACCAAGAGGAAAATATTCACGTACAATCATAGTTCAGTCACAAAATTCAAATGAAACTGTAAGAAGAAATGCAGTGGAATAAATTTAAAGACTGAATTGGCTTTATTGAATGATTCATGAATCAGGTAGCATCCCATCCAGCACTAGAATGGAACTCCAGAGGGCTACAGAAGGAAAGGTTTGTGTTTTTATTTATTTTACTTTTTTTTTTAACATTTATTTATGTTTGAGAGACAGAGAGAAAGCAGGGGAGGGTCAGAGAGAGAAGGAGACAGAGAATCCGAAGCAGACTCCAGGCTGTGAGCTGTCAGTACAGAGCCCGACGCAGGGCTCAAACTCATGGACCGCAAGATCATGACCTGAGTTGAAGTGAGGCACTTAGCTGACTGAGCCACCCAGAAGCCCCCAGCAGGAAACCTTTTTTAAAAAGGCAGAGAGAGTGTACAACAAGGAAGTCATAGATAGAAAAATAAA